AAAACAAGTTAATACTAAAGTGTAATATGGACGATCAGGTGGGTCTGTGTGTAAAAATCAAGTGCCTTTTAGTGTACCTTATAAAAAAATATATAGCACATACTGCTGTTAATACCATTAGGTATTTTGCAACGGTAAAATCCCATCCGATTTATATTTGTCTTATAATCCATCAAATATTTTTGCTTGCATGTGATTGGTTTAAACACAACACCTAACTGAATATGCCCCAGCTAGAAGTAGGGAATGACAGAATGACATTCCCCAGTTTTCAAAATTTTGTGAGTTTGAGGAATATTTGAAGGATAATAAACACAATAACCTCCATTTAGCATGGAAATATGCTGGGATATTTGTTCTTGGACTTTATCTATCCCTCAAAGCTCACAGCTTTACACTCTGAGAAAACTGTTCACTTCTCGGATTAGATAATGTCCATAGACAAATATCCAAGCTTATAATCCATGAAATATTTTCGTTCTCACACGATTGGTCTAAACACATTACTAAACACAAAACTGGGGAATATCCAAGTGATATTCCCCAATTTTCCAAACTGCGCATGTTGTGAAAAAAAATTGAAGGATAAGAAACACAATAGCCTCCATTTGGCTCAAAAATATGCTTGGATATTTGTCCTTAGACATTATCTGTTCCTCAAAGCTCAGAGTTTCCCTTGAGCCGTGCTCTTGGAAAACTGTCCTCATCTTGAAACAGATAATTGCTGTGGACAAATATCCTAGCATATTTTCACCCTAAATGGAGGTCATTGTTTATATATTTCACCCCAAATGGAGGCTATGGTTTATATAACCCTAGGAATAACAAAGGAATGCAATAAAGGTGTAAGCAGTCTTCAGTGGGGAGAAGCGTTACATGGTAACCAAAATAATGGCTGCCAACAAGATTCCTCCTACCCATTCTAGAACAAGGGGTTGGAATTTGGTAGGCAATCCTAGAAACAAAAGACTTCTTATGTTTTGCCATCCTTTTTTAACAAGTAGATATCAAACTTTTTTCCCATTGTTGTCCAGAGTGTTCCTAGTATACAGCAACAGCAGGAATTGATGAATGAAGCGATAGAAAAAGCCAAAAGAGCTGCAGAACTACAAGCCAAGATCCAAGCTCAGCTGGCAAACAAACCAAACCTGGTAAGAACTGTATTGTTGTAATGCATGTGTACAATATTTTTCTATCAATGACAAGCCTATAGGGCAGGGGAGGCCACGCATATATGTTCCAGCATTTGCACCACCGCAGAGACCAATAAAATGATGGTGACTAATGAGTTGTGTTGAAATTACAAGAGGGATGTGCAATCCTTCTAAAAATGTGAGGGCAAAAGGTTTGGAATTCAGACGGAATATGCATACAGCCCCAGGGCTTCAGAAAAGGGCCATGCAGTTGTCTGGGACAAGTAGATTTTCCTTCTGAGCAACTAACTTTTCATTTTCACTTGCCTGATGGACAAGGGCCTGGGCTACTAGAGTGGTCTGCCAACTAGACCAGAAAAAGTAAACTAAGACTTGCCAGGGCAAGCAAAATTTGAGAGCTGCTTGGCTAAAAGAAAAGCTAAAATCCAAGTATTTCTCAAGCCCTGATACCCCTCACCCCCAACAGGACCTTTTCAAAGAGTTTACAGTAATTGCAAGACTACACCATTAATGATCCATGACCAAGATAGAGGATTTTGATAGCCCATTTCCATATTTTGGTGTGATCAACATCTTGCTGACTCAATAGCTACTGAGCTAAATCTTCGTGACAAACCCACATTTGCCGAGAGTGATTTATCAATCAAAGTAGGATAAACATTTTTCAACTTCATTTACATATCAGCCAACAACATTTCTAGAGTAGCCCTTGGGTATGTTTCAATCTTGTTTAATTTCTGTAAAATCCTTTAGTTCTCTTCATCAGGACTTACCAGCACTGGAGCAAACCTGATCAAGTCAGGTTTAATTTCAGTGAGTGCCATCAAAGAGGACGGCTCTCATCCACGCGCCTTGATCTTGGATGAGTCTGGCCGGACTGTGGATGCTGCAGGAAGGGCCATTCAGCTGACCAGTAGAATGCCAACACTGAAGGCCAACATCCGTGCTAAGAAAGCAGAGCAGTTCAAGATTGAAAAACCTCCAGAAGATTTGAATGAAAGCAGATATTTTGATCCCAGAGTGGGGTGAGATTCTAATGAGTACTGCTTTCTTTGAACAAACATCGTCTGTGTACTTGAGAGAAGTGCCTCATGAAAACATGCTAGCTGCATTCTGTTAGGCTTATATTCAGAATCAATTCTAATAAATTATTGTTTTTTTTTTTTCTGATTATCTCTTTTTTAATGTAGTTTCACATGGTTACAACATGGCCAAAGACTTTTGATGCTCACGTGATGACTTACAGCTTCTTTTATACTTTATGTCCATATGTCTCAGGAGTCCCATCTCACCATGTACCTACACATACCTATACCTTGATAATTGAAACCCAACCATTTCTGAAGTACAAACTTTCTTCTCCCAAAAAAATGCTCTCAAGCGAAAATAACCCCTGAACTTACTGTGGGAAGTTTACCGAAATTTATTCAATCTTTGTTTGTCTTTTCTTAGGATAAAAGCAGCACAACGAAGCAAGCGAGGATTTAAGTTCCATGAAAAGGGAAAGTTTCAACAAATAGCTCAGAGAATAAGAGCTAAGGTACAGTACATATTGAATGGTTTCATAAATCAATGTGTTATATAGCCAGCTATATTACTGGAATACTTTATATAGAGTTTTGTTGTTGAAACTGGTCAAAGTATAAATATGCTAACTGAGCATTAAACAACCTGCTGCCATTTCAACATTAAAAAAAATATTTGAGATGATTACCATTGTTTAAGGTTTCCTGCTTCCACTAAGACCACTCAAAGGACTAGACCATGATCTCTTTGTGAGAAAGGCTTGACAACATAAATCAAACACAGGTTTGAGAAGTAATATCACTTTCTTGACTAACAGACACAGCTGGACAAACTTCAAAAAGAGATTGCAGCAGCAGCAAAGAAAACAGGTATTTCGTCAGCAACCAAACTTGCACTGATCACGCCAAAAGAAGCCCAAGAAGATATTGTCCCAGATGTTGAATGGTGGGATGCTAATATCTTACCTAGTGGAAAGTACATTAGTGTAGAGGCTGATATTATGGAGGACAGTATTGGTGGTGTGACGGCACTGGTGGAACATCCCATACAGAAACATCCTGCAGGTAACACATGAAATGCAAAGCACAAACAACAGCGGACTAAGTCCTATCCTACAAATGAATATATGAAAGATCATATATGTCTTCAAAAGCCTATCCTGTAACACATGCCTAGATTAGATTTAAAACAGAAGAGTCTTCCCTCCCCTGCTCATGAAGTTGTTGATGGTTCCTACATGTACTATATAGTGTGTCGTGCCATGCTGCAAAGCTTGTACTGTAGCTGACATTTTGCTTAAACAGTCCTGTGTTTCCTTTGGCAATAAAATGTAAAGAGAAATAGCTTCAAGTTAACTGTACTGCCAGGTTAGCTTGTGCTGTATGTGGGCAAATTGAAGATCAAAGATTGACATCCCATAGGAAAAGGACAGAAATGTTTCTATTATTGCTCTTGCTAACATAGTAGTTTTCATCATCCTATCCCACTTCCGTTTTGGTGGGGATTTGCATTTATGGATGAAACAAACTGTGAGCCAATTTGTTAGTCATTTTGATTTTGTTACATTTGTGCAAAACCATATGACTTTTTTTTTTTTCAACAAGGCTATGCTGAAAAGTGAGTAAAAGGCTGCAATGTGGAGTGAAGTTGGATTGTAAATCTGGAATAAACATGTTTACAATTAAGTTAATTGAACACATTCATCATATTTGAAACATGATCAATACTCAAATAATAAATATTATTTGATTGTTCAGCTGAACCCAAGGAAGCTCCAATAGCACCCATCATGTTAACAAAGAAGGAAAGAAAAAAGATTCGCACACAGAGAAGACGAGAGGTTGAAAAAGAAAAACAAGAAAAAATAAGGCTTGGCCTTGAACCTCCACCACCACCTAAAGGTGAGAGAAACATGTATCATCATTGTACATGTGGGTGTTGACCAAGCTTCTTCAGTCAAGATGGCTGGATATTGGTCAAGGTTTTTTTTTTTTGTATGTGTGTGTTTAGGGATCAAGACATAGCCAAAGTTTGCAAACATGCAAAAAAAGAAATCCAGCCGACATCGAGCCATCTTAACTAAAGAAGCTTAGGTTAATGGAATGTTTTTTTTTTATATGGCTTAAAGAACAACATTTTCTTGTGGAATACAGTGTGTAATCCTGAACTGAAAAGATAGATTTATTATCTTCTCTGTGCTCTTATCTCTAGGTTTAGCGATATAGAAGAAAACCCATCTGCTGTTTCTCAGTTTCCCTTATTTTAAACTTCAAACTTTTTCTGGGAATCTTTGGTTTGTACTAAATCCTTGTTTTTGATTTATGTCTGCCGTGTTTTAGTTAAAATCTCCAACTTGATGAGAGTTCTGGGTAATGAAGCGGTGCAGGATCCAACTAAGGTTGAAGCTCATGTGCGAGCACAGATGGCACAAAGACAAAAGTAAGTACAATGGTGACAAAGATCAGAGAGGTTCCTGATATGGGCTAATGAATGCCAAAATCTAAAGATCACAGACGGAAAATATCTTAGCCTACATGTAGCCGTACCCACCCTCCCTCCCGTTTTTCCTTGGGAGGTGGGTACGGCTACATGTAGGCTAAAAATATCTGGATTCGAAAGACAATCATTTACATCATCAGTTTTCATATTCAAAGTTCCCACTTCAAATTCCGGATTCGAGACACGACCAAATTGGGGAGTTTTTATTTCGGATTCGTCCACTTGTCTGTAAACGGCAAAATCAATCTGGTACTAAAACTTTCCTCAGGTGTAAAACTAGTCTATGTGAAGCCATAATTATGTGGTCAAGTTGTTTGTGATAGTGGTAATTGGGTACTTGTCTCACGCATGTAAGATTGTTCTTACAATAGATAACTGACATTCTTGAATTTAATTTAAGAAATACCGCAAAATGCTTCTGCTGCTCAGTTCTGTGAGAAAGCATACACTAAAAGTCCTGTTTCTACAGCTATATAATCGTGGCTTCCCTTTCTTCAATTTCTTCCACTTTTCTCAAATATTTTCTCGGTGTTTCTATTGGGTTATGGTAATACTGGTGAAAGATTGAGAGAACTCGAAAACAAAGTGGAAGCACTCGGCCAATGCTCACATTCCCACAGCATTTCTCGTTCTTCCAAACTTCCACGTGTAGTGTGTCTCTATAACTCGATAAAAACACAGAATTTGTTGTCTATTTCTTAGGTAAGGTTATATTGTAGTAACTATACATTGTATGTAATCTATATCTAAAGTTTACTATTTCTTGCAGAGCTCATGAAGCTGCCAATGCTGCTAGGAAACTTACTCCTGAAGCACGGCGCGAGAAAACTATTCGTAAACTAAAGGAGGACACTTCACTTGGCGTACACGTGGCAGTATTCAGAGTCACAGAGCTTAAAAACCCTCAGAGAAAATACAAAGTCGATATCAATGCACAGCAACTCTACTTAACAGGTATGCGACTCAACTTAATCGTGAAGACGTTTAGTCGGGTGATATCTATGTACCTGTGTTAAGGTTCGTGTTTTCTGTGAAATAAGAAGAAAATCTGTCTCCCTTGACCGACAGTGAGGGTTTAGAAGAAAACTTGAAGTTAAGAAGTGGACAATAAACCTAGTCGAGACCAAACGCACACACACACAAAAACGCGTGAAATCGAGTCTGTTTTCAGCAAACACATTACAAACACTGTATCACTTTAGTTACTCAGTACCATTTAGTTCCCCCGAACATTCAGTAAATTTCAACAGTAGCATACTTCATTCTTTACCTTCTTTATCCTCTGACGTTTCAGTGAACTGTTTTGCATATTTTCAAAGACAATGTTGTTTTCGCATTAATTTTGTTACTTAGCAAGGTACCTGGCCAACGGCAAGCACGGGTTCAGTTTATTTCCAGATAACTAAAAGAGAGCGTCAACTCTCCATTATATGCTGTAGTTGGGGTAGTATGAGCGCTTCAACATGACGAGAAACTTTACCTTGCCAGGATACTGTAGAGAGGGTATCTCATTATGCTAAAGGTTATGGCACCCACCCCTCCCTAGGGCGAACCTTAATTTTCCACCAACGGCGAATTTGACTTTAAGTTGTTTTACTCACAGGTTGTGCTGTCCTCTACAAGGATGTGAATATTGTCGTTGTCGAGGGAGGTCCAAAAGCTGTGAAGAAATTCAAACGGCTAATGCTGCATCGAATCAAATGGGAAGACGAGAAAGATTCTGATGATGATAACGACGAGGAAGCAGCCAACAAGAAGACTGCTCCTTGTGTGCTAGTCTGGGAGGTGAGAGGATTAAGCTTCTGGTTTTTTGAGTACTACTCGACTTCTATAGTGATTAAGTTGTGAGGCTTGTTTGTTTGTTTGTTTGTTTGTTTGTTTGTTTGTTTGTTTGTTTGTTTGTTTGAATGAATGAAAAAAAATTGAAAAGCGCGGCATCGTAAAAGAGATACATTGATATTGATTCGTTTTTTCTCTTTTTTGTTGTATAGGGTACCAACCAACAGAGGAACTTTAGCGACTGGAAATTCAAGTTATGTCCGATGCAATCCATGGCGAGAGATCACCTTAAAAAATACGGCGTAGAACACTACTGGGATTTGGCGCTCAGTGAATCACTCCTAGAAAATGCCGATGATTAAATTCTCTTTTTGTNAATGGGAAGACGAGAAAGATTCTGATGATGATAACGACGAGGAAGCAGCCAACAAGAAGACTGCTCCTTGCGTGCTTGTCTGGGAGGTGAGAGTACAAATCTTTTGTTTTTTTGAGTACTACCCGACTTCTATACTGATCAAGTTGTGAGGCTTGTTTGTTTGTTTGTTTGTTTGTTTGTTTGTTTGAATGAAAAAAAAAAATTGAAAAGCGCGGCATCGTAAAAGAGGTACATTAATATTGATTCTTTTTTTCTCTTTTTTGTTGTATAGGGTACCAACCAACAGAGGAACTTTAGCGACTGGAAATTCAAGCTATGTCCGATGCAATCCATGGCGAGAGATCACCTTAAAAAATACGGCGTAGAACACTACTGGGATTTGGCGCTCAGTGAATCACTCCTAGAAAATGCCGATGATTAAATTCTCTTTTTGTTTTGTTTCCTTTGTTTTGTTGTTGTGGCTTGCAAGTGCAAATGTAGTCGAGTGAAGTCAAAAGAACTCGTCACACACATCCAGGAAACTTGTCGCAGTCGGGAAGGTCAAATATCAAGTACAGTTTTTGACAAATGTACGAAGAAACTGTCCGAAACCAGTGTGAGCTCTCACGGGGCTTCGACATTTGACACTGACGAAAACATGCCGCCATGAGAATACTTCACTGCGCTGTCGTGAGCAGTTTCTATGACAACACAAAACAAGAAAAACGCGCGCCTAGACAATCACAGAGAAGAAGTATTGACTGATAAACGTACTTTGTTTGAACTGTCGATTGTCTTTCACGAATAGTTTAAATATAGACTGTCTTACGTACCTGAGTTGTGTTTTAAATTAAGACTATTTTGAAATTATCTCTGGTGTTTTCACCATATTTTAATTCCAGTTTCTTTGGGGTAGCGTGTTAAATTCTGGTAATGTTCAGTTTTTGCTTTTCTTTTTACTTTGGTTTGCAACCGTTAATCCCAAGGACTTAATTTCCGTATATCGGGGGAATCCCAAATGATCAGGGAATTTCTTGTTTTCTGCCCCATTCCCTACTTGAGAAAGCACTGAATCTTAAGTGCCCACGTACTCGGGTATACTCCATAGTTAGAGATAATTGGCGACACGGAAGGTGTCCGAGATATGTGCCATTGTAGCCGATCATTCTCAATTTATGAGCCTCGACGAAATAATTAGCTGTGTTACCAAGCCTCCGTGCCTGCAGTGTGCAAGACAGTAGTGCCCAGATCTCCAAGAGGGAGGTGATGTGATAAAAATAAGAGCGAAATCTGTGATCGTGTGAGTCAGTCACAGTATTTTGAGTTATTTTGGCCACGTACAAAATTACCTTAAAATCGAAGGAACCTGAAAATAATTGTTTACTAAGATAGAAAAACACCAAAGAGGAAACAATACACCATAAAGGAAAAAGGGTGGAGACGATTGACATAAATTACAAACGACGAATAACTTGAACCATAGTTGACCTATGCTTGAACAAATTAGGCAAAACTTATCGAGATGCACAAGCAGTGACGTAGCTTCTTTATGTGTTTACTGAGTTTGGTTTTAAGAAAGCATTCATCCACTTCCATCTTCTCCCATTGAATAATTTATTTTAAGTAGCAAATATTTTACATTTATCTCAAATGCAGAATAAACAAATGTCTTTACCGCGTCAAAGCGTAAAAATTTACATGTATACAACTCAATCTACAAAATTCAATAGCCGATCCAAGTACTTTTTACAGTAAAGCTGACATAAGATAACATATGACCTAATCTGACAAAAGAGCAATATTTCCTTTTGCTTTGATTCTTCATATAGTGTCTTTCGTAACCAGCGAAAGAGTTCAATAATCCCTTCTGGGATATTTTTTTCTTAAACGACCCCAAGTGCTCAGTCTGCAACATAAATCTGAGCATAAAAGAATAAAAATATTTCATGTTGTCTTTAAAAATGATCCCTACAATCATTTTATAATATAGACCAGTTTAAAATTTGCGGCGTCTACCATTGTATGAGAGTCACAAGAACCAACACTGTGAATAGCGCCATATTTGATAAATGTCCTCGCGAACCCGCAGACACAGGAGGTTTCTTCTCGTAGTAGTCATAGTAACAAGACCTCAGCTCGTTTGTTGTCGCGTCCACAGCTCGAAGCTTGCACTGACCAAGACCTTGTTTATAAAGAGTATTTACAAATCTACCACCGCTGCTATAACCAAGTCCATACTCCAACGATTTACAGCTGCAGATTAAATAGAAAGTTAACTGTGAATCTGTAAAGTAAAGCTTTGCGAGAAACGTTAGCCGTGCTCAAATGACTGGACTACAATAGATGTCTAGAGAAACCGAGCACGGCAGATGTAAGATTTAAAAAAAAAAAAAAAAAAAAACAGCTTGTAGGCAAAAGTATATTATCAAAAACTTAAATGTCGGATATGTCGGTTGTACGTTAACGTTTAATTTTCATTAGAGATTCAGTAATCGTATGAATACCAGTGATATTTGCCTAAAGGCTGGTGCAATTTTGAGAGAACTTCATAATATCACTTATAGTGTGAATCCTTATTGCAATCGCATTCATACGATTACCTACATATTTACCTTGAGCTTTCTCTACACTTCGCAGCACAAGATTCCAGAGTGACATTAACGTGAAGTGACGGCTTGTTCTTTCCTTCCGCCTTGACACATTTCCTTTTCTTGGCGGCAAACCCTTTAGGATCTGTAATATTTAAGTCAGCACCATTTACTTGGAACTGAACGAGTGTGAGTCAAATTTGTTGGAAGAGATTTTCCTTTATATATAACTGGAAAAGGGTGAGTTTGTTAACACATTCATAGTGTTTTTACGCACCGATATCACAGACAACTACTGCCCTAAATTATTACAGTCTGGGTTCGTCTGCACTTGGACCTCTCTTTAGAAATCTGTAGTTTGATTACTTTGATCACAGAACGATTCACATTGTCTATCTTGACAGTAACAACCTTTTATATTTGTTCAAAACCAATCAGATTGTTTATACATCTGTTGAAAACGACTTCATTTCTAAAACCGTGGAATATCCGAGTGATATTCCCCGATTTTCAAATCTGCGCGTGTTGCGAAAAATATTTCAAGGACAATAAACACATTACTGGCGCGAAAATATACTGGAGTGTTTGTCTGTTCCGAGAAGGGAACAGTTTTCTGCTCTCGGAAAACTGTTCCCTTCACGGAACAGATAAATATCCCAGCATATTTTCACGCCAAATTTAAGTTATTGTTTATATACAGAACAGGTTTTCATTACAGCTGTGAAGGAAATGCTACAAGATCGTGTACCAAGCTATGCATGTTGGCTATCTCCATAGTAACACTTACTGCTGCAGGTTCTTCCTTCCCAGGCCTCTGAGCATTCACACTTGTAAGAGGTTCCATCCACGTGGCATTTACTATCGTGTTGACAGGGCCCGGAAACACACTCATCCTCATCTGAGAGAAAATCAACCAATTCAACAGTTTGCATACTGAAGTAAAATATCTATACTTGATAATGTACTCAACAGATCTTTAATTGTTTTCAGTGATTAACATAATATTTAGCAAGAAAATCTATTGATCAGTAAACTTCACTTCTTAGATAAGATGCTTTTGTGTCCGAATAACAGCCCTTTTCTTTGGAAATGTCTCTACAAAGACTGCTGAGTATGGAAAATGGTGTGAGTATGTTTTAGGACCAAGAAGTCGTTTTAATAACTCTTGTTTGCAAAAGGCTCTGTAAGCTGGAGTATTCTCTAGTCTCTTACATGTTTGAACTGTGATGACATTAGATCTTTCTCCTTCCTTGTCAGCCGTTGACGCTGTCATCCAAATCTTGTACTTTGTGTTTGCAGTCAAACCTGTGAGAATTCCTCTTGGGCCATACCTAAATACTTGGCCTCTTTGTCTACTCTGATAAAACGGAAAGGAGCATAAAATAACAGATAAGTTTCTTATGTAAGAATCCTTCAATTTTTAAGGAAAGCAGCAAAGACAACAGCAACAAAAACACGTGAGCTCTTGCGCTTGTTTTCTCTGGTTAGGTCGTTGGTTAACATAAGATTGGCGTACATATTATGTTACTTGCGTTTGTTCTGCGCGGGTTAACCATAATTCACACACTCTTCAAGTGATATCGTGCCGAAGCATGTCACGATGTGAGTATGTTCTTCACAAGACTTTAGCCTCAAGTTTATCCCGTGGCCTGTGGGGCAGAGTGTGGTGAACGAAACTCGGACAAGCCTAGGTAGTATTTTAATGCTCAAAAATTATATGAAGAATTATCAGCACCGTAAGTTAAGGTGGCTGAACACAGTTTTTGATACCTGTGTTTCATTCACCTTTTTCTCTAAAACCCTTGATCTCTCGGTCG